TTAACATTTATTTTACAATTTTAATTTTGCAATTTTGTCAGCTTTGTTATAAATATAACAATTATAACAGATATGTACGTAACACGTGATATAACAGATGATTGCGTATAAAAGTTAAAAATTCAGTTCAACGAAAATATCGCTAGTTTGTGCAAGCAAATTTTCTACGCTATATTTCTCCATACGCTCGTAATCATGTCGGCAGCCATACGATTACACGTATTGTTTGTTTTTCGAGAGATTTACTATGTTTACGAAAACATTTTGGCAAATGGATGGCGAAATGAGTATATCGAGCTGAAAGATCCAACGCGATTACTGACATAGTATTCCGAGGATAACCATAGACGAATCTAATTGCGCAGGCGTTGCACCAAAGTAACACCGCGTTACAATCCCGGTTGCAATCATAATGGTTATACAACGGTTATACAGAGTATGCTTATCAAAAATTAATTACACACGGCAGAGCCGTGTGATAAAATTGCCAGCACGAAAATAAAAAAGATATAAAAATTAATCGAGCTCACACGACAGCACGTGATTGCCCGAAATACATTTTTCGCGTAGCCATTTATTTCACAAATTTTATTATTCTTAATAAAATTGTTTATTTTAAAAATATATTCCTTATAGGGATTAAGAGATAAATATTATTTATCGCAAAAGTAAACATAATCAATGTTATACGATAAAAATCAGCGTAACATTCTATAATTTGTATCATACAATCGCATAGTAATGCTACGTCGAACGATTGCAATAGCTAATAAACAAATTGTTGTTAAATACATTTTCGATGAAAAAAGAAAAGAGAAATACAGATAAAACGTTGCCGCAGATAATCCGTATATTACCAGTATAATATTATATTATAATATTATAATATGATTCCAATTTGTTTAATCTTATAATTAAATTTTTCTAAAAAGAAATTTCCGAAATTTGTTAATGAATCAACCGAACAACCGAACGCGATAAAAGTTTGAAAACGGCTGCGTTTGCTTTCCGAGTAAGGAGAATTAGTTTAGGCAATGAGTGACGTAATACCCGGGACGTGATTTCGCGCACGTAACGCTCCGATCCCTTCGATCCTTCGATTCCCGACGACGACGACGACGGCGGCGGCCATGGCGGTCGCCATGTCTTTTGGGAGGGGAATGAACCCGAGTGATTAATAAAAAGGTTTCGCTGGAACACCCGGCTACCTCAGCCCGGAGGTGCTGAAGAAGGAACCGTACGGGAAGCCAGTCGACATATGGGCGTGCGGTGTCATACTGTACATCCTCCTGGTCGGTTACCCACCCTTCTGGGACGAAGATCAGCATCGGCTTTACGGACAGATCAAGGCCGGATCGTACGATGTACGTATCTTATCATTTATTTTCACACCTTTTCTTCTCCATGCGTTCTGTCACTGTCACAAGCCTGTCGCAAACTGTCGCAAGAAAAAAAAGAGACATTAAAGAATTTGCGTGAAAAAGAAGATTCTCTACGTTCGATAGATGAGATAACTTTGCTACTTATTTTTAGTAGTTGTTTTCATTATTCTTGTGAGGAATTATTATGCTACGCGTCAATGCTATTCTTTGCCCAGTATCCGAGTCCAGAATGGGACACTGTCACGCCGGAAGCTAAAAATCTTATCAATCAAATGCTGACGGTAAATCCGGGAAAGAGGATCACTGCTAGCGAGGCACTCAAGCATCCATGGATCTGCGTAAGTTTACCTTGTCAAATTTTACATAATTTAATATAATTAAATTTATAATGATTTTTAAAGTAATCTAACGTATCGCATTAGATTATCTACACGGAAATCTTGTTGCGTGCAAATATTGTATTTCGTGTTAGGCGATATTATATATAATATCTTTGTAAAGCTGCGTAATATACGATACGTCATATTTTAAGCTTGATTACGCTCACATTGCAATTTATTACATTAATATATTAATTAAATATACGCGATGACTATATAATTCGATATTACTATAGTTTAGCGTTTTTTCTCGCTTTTGTGGCTTGCCTCTTTTTCGCATAAAGATAGAATTTTTTATTCTCAGTGAAGTGCGAGGTCTAAGATTTTCTGACCTGACTTGAACCGTTCCCTCGAGGCGACGTCTAATATTGTTTCCTGTTTGCTTTGTGTTTCAGCAACGTGAACGCGTTGCATCTGTGGTGCACAGACAAGAGACTGTAGACTGCTTGAAGAAATTCAATGCAAGGCGCAAGTTAAAGGTGAGTCTCGAAAAGTTTTACTCCATATATGTTTATTCAACGCGCATTTACCCGAGCATCTTTGCCTCAAATTTCACACTCCCTCTCATAATTATATAATCTCGACGTTTTTGCTCAACTTTCCGTCATGAACTTTCCGTCGCAGTTGATTATTTGAATGACTTGGTTATTTCGACAATTATCACACGATGATAGTAACTGTTTTTATCTATTTGCTCTATGGAGCATTGTAAAATTTGAAATAAAAGTTGTAACATCATCACGTGAACACATCGTATTATGTGATTCGATTTAAATGTTTAACGAAATGAAACACGCTTTATACCTGATCAGATTAATAAACTTTTGTTAATTTCCGCAATTTCAAAATTTCACTGTTTCAAATGTTGTTTTAATTCGTCTTAATTAATACTGGAAAAGATTGCATCTGGCTCAAACGAACCAAATTACGAGATGAATGGAAATTGAAATTTGCGACAAATTTATTTCGAAAAATATAATATATATATATATATATATATATATATATATATATATATAATTGGTATAATATATAATGGATACAGATATGTCAATCGCATTTTTTATGAGATTTGTCGAAATTTGTTTGACTCGCGATTATCAACTGCTAATTTTAGGACAGGCACACGAAAATATATATGACAGTAATCGTGCAAATTCTCATTTTCACCGGCCGCAAAATCTCGTATATTAGCTTTCAGCCATTTATAAATGCAAATTCCATTATGTCCGCTTATCACGTTGCAGTCTAGATTGCGTCCGTGCTGTGCAGCGGACATTAGTAACATCTGTAAAATTAGAACACCATGATACGCCATGATAGCCGAAGGCTACTAACTATAAATTCGATTTTTTCGCCTCTTTCCCAGGAGACATAATCGGATAAAGTATAATCTTTTCTCGAAATGATAATGTTTACATAATGTTACATGATAATGTTTCACGAGAAATCCTATTAAATTTGTTATTTAAGTGACAAATATACCTCGAGTAAAGAAAATTTTATATACGTGTCTAATACATAAATATAATTTTACTCATCTATACAGTTTTATTTTTGATTAATAAATCATTAATAAATAATTAATAAATTATAACTTTTAATTATTTTTATGGCTTAAAGAAGCTGTAGATATTTCAAAACGACATTCCGTTAAACGTTAAAACGACGTTCCGTTTCAGCCGAGCGAATAATTCTGCGAATAATAATTTGGAAAAATGACCGAAAGGTGGAAAAAATTGCCGAGAACCGTCAAAAACTTTTAAATGTTATTACGATGAATCTTTTAATCTCTGCGAGACAAGCAACTCTCGCAACTTCGATTGGCCTTAATGATTTCGAGATCAGAGATCGCGGATATGGACCAGGATGATACCTGTGAGAGCCCTAGCTGAGAGAGCCGTTCTTACGGCACTGTCGTTCGACAAGTCACCGACGATTAAACGATGGTACGCATCGAGCAGTACGACTCCACTTGTCGTTGCAATCGTCGCACTCTCGACGCGGTGTACGAGACTGGAGTGTGCCGCTTTTTTATCGGAGGCACGTGTGTGACAACGTTCGTTCGCCGTTATCGAAATGCGTCGAAAGCTCGAGGCACGTGCGCGAGAGCGTCAAGGGTTTCGATTTAATTGACTGTGAAACTGAAACTGTGAAAGTTTGGAAAATTTGGAAAACTGAACTAAAGAAATGCAACTGCACGTTGCATAAGCACGTGAAAATTTAATTTCTCCTTTCAATTTTTTTCAATTTTATCGAATACAAGCGTATAAGTGCGATTTATAATATTTTTTTTAATAATATTATATTTACTGTTATTATAATATTACTGTTATTTTTGTTACGATAATTAAAGATCGACGATATTTATAGATGTTTTCTTAGGTAGAGGGAATATCGCGATATATGGAATATATGGCAATTCTAATGACTTTGTGAAATATTTATTCAATTGATTAATATTTCATACTTAATTTTATTACTTAAAATTTTTACTGTATTTTTTTTGTTTGTTTTGGTTAAGTTCTTGTTGCTTGATTGTCCTTATGTCTGTTGATTGAGTTTAATATTTAATACCTCTGAAAGAAAATGTCACTACTCATTGTAACTTATTTCTTCTTGTAACAGAATTTCTTATTCTAATATTATTATTCTTTTAATTATATATATTATAATAAAAATATTTTATATTTATTCTTGTTAAACAGAGAAGAGTACATATATTAGAATACATATATTATTTACTTTTTTAATGGTAAACTGCCTTTAATTGAAGCAAACGCTCATTTAATTGGAATGTTGGTCTATAAGGATTGTGTCCTTGTATAAGTTACGAGCAAAATTGGATACGTAATTTCGACCCATTTCTTCATTCTTATGATCGCAATTGGACGACATAATCACACGACGACATTCTATAGTACTCGTTCAATGCTCGAACAAAGCGCAAAGAAAACATTTCATTATTTGATACGAGCGACGATGCATGAACGGCTATTAAACGTTCAACAATGGCTTGCAATCGCGATTAAACAACTTGCGCAAGTCTTGACGTTTATATGCGTGATATTTGAATCGTACTTGTACACTTGTGGTTACAATGCGGTGTGCAAACACTCGGTAATATTTTTAATATCAGAAATGAAATTTTTCTCTTTGCGAGAAAGAGCTACGGCTGTTACAAAAACACGAAGAATACTAAGAATAAAAAATGTTTAGCGATATTATCAATATTGAAAAGCCTTTCTTTAATGTGTGTGTGTGTGTGTGTGTGTGTGTGTGTGTGTGTGTGTGTGTGTGTGTGTGTGTGTGTGTGTGTGGTGTGTGGAGTGGTGTGTGTATGTGTGTGTGTGTGTGTGTGTGTGTGTGTGTGTGTAAAAACACATTAGATGTGACACTTGTACAGAAATTAAGCTGTGCAGTTTCATAATCACATAAACTTTCTTTAAAATCGACACTGATATCTGGATATCTTAGGTTAATGAAAAATGATGCTATCATAATGTTTAAATATAGAATTTTCTCGCATTGAAACGAATTGAAACGAATGGCACATCTCGAAACTGGCGCGGATTTCTAACAATAAGATCTTCTATGATCCTTTCGCGAATGAATTCGATAACGTTATCTTAATAACATTTAACGATAACGACCGTACAAAATCGACAAGCTTAAGATCGAGCCTATTTCTGCATGACATAATTATAATTTGGTATCTAAATTGATTAACGGATATTTATTCGGCCGCCGTGATCGTATCTCCTTACAAGAGGCAGCTTCTGCAAAAATCAAATATTATAGGGAGCTAATTATCAAATTTCTCCATTATCAATTGCTCCATAATGAAAGGAATGAGCGGTCGGCAATGCTTTGGAAGTCTGATAACTCTAATATAAATAGTATTACAATATTTTATTGTTTACAGCTGTGCAGTTTTTACAGCTTATAGCATAATAAAGACAAATTTAATTTTATAACGGAATACACTTGTGCCTCATATCGATTAGAAAACAGCCGTTTTATTGCCAATCCAGTGAAACCAGTATAATCATGTAAGAATAACAACACAGAATTATCTTTTTTACGTAGTAGTAAAGTCGATCATATTGATTTTTTGTCCTCAGTTCTAACGCGTGCGCGATAATAATTTTATTTTGTTAAAGTTAAGCACTAATTATAGAAAAATTCATGTATACACGCAAATGCGTATTGGTGACTGGTACTAAAAAATATTGTAATTTATATTATAATTTATATTATAATTCGTCCTGTGCCTGAGTTGGAAAAATTAATAATGTAGTTTCTGTGTTTTCTGTCACGGAAAAAAATTATTTTAATTTTTATGTGTTATGTATTATTAGAGACTTGATGAATTTTGAAATACCTACGAGATCTTGTTGCTCTGTCATGTATCATATATGTTGATTAACATTGCCGTAATGACAAACGCGCATTAAAGATAGATGATGGCCAAGCACGTAAAAAAAAATGCGATGTCGAAGCAACCAGCCGAATACTGATTAAACTCCGACTCATAAAAGTGCAAATGCCGAGTGAAGAAGTTTAATGACGCCATCCGCTCGTTCGTTCGCTCATGCGCAGATTGAAACATGTGGGCACTGAAGAATAAATTCATGTTGTGCAGACAACAAGAGGCGACCGTGCCTGAGGTAATGAAATTTTAATCATCGCCAAATTGATCATCGCATGTCTAGCGATGCGAGTCGTTTGTTTTAGGCATTAGGTGACGGTAGCGGTGACGGTATATTACGATAATACGATATTTTTTTACTTTCGATAACGATACATTTACTTGTATTGTACTTTGTACAGTAAAAACAATTTTTAGGATTACTTCTAAATACTGTTTATTTTAAAGTTTGACAGTAGTTATATAATCGATTCGCGTGCTCGCCATAGAAAAAAGTACGTAAATTTCTGTTAAGACTTTGCGTCTGGAGACTGGTCTCGTGATTCAAATGTCAGAAAGCGGAAATGAGCAATCCTTCTAATCTAATTGCAATTTGAAGTAAACGAAAACGAAATATCATTTCATGTTTTAAAGATAGACAGATGCAAATATTCGTTCGAGCACGTTTGCGAATCTCGTCCGACGCGACGGATAGTCGTATTACGTAAAGTTGGGCGACGCATCTCGAACTGTTTGCCGTTAGAGTATAGTGAAATTTTGTCACTTTGTACTACAATGTTCCCAACTTGCCGCGAATGTCACCGAGCTTGATGAAAGACGAGAGTTTACGAATAAACTTCAACCTGAAATTCTGTATAATCATCCGACCTTACTCTTAAGGTCGCGTCTGTCAGTCGCGTACTCGCTTGCCTGGAAATTATTTCTCGTAATTAAACGCATCATGATGCGGCATTTTGGACTTTCCCCGAACGTTCAAAATCATTATAATCGTGCACGTGATCGATTTATTTGATTTTATTGTATCGTTTTGCGGCAGACTAATCGATTATTGAATCCAATTCGGTAATCTGTATATATGTATATATATATATATATGAGATGACATATATTATATATCAACGGAAATGATTCCAATCAACATTTTATAACCAACGTTCTATAGCGACAATAGAGAAAACCGTCATGGACGATTGAAGAAAATTGAATCAAATTACAATTTCACCATATCAGATTTTTCGATAATCGAAAAAATACTATCTACTATCAATTTTGAAAAGTTTAATCTTTTAAAAGAGAATATATTTTGCTTCTACATATTATATATTTTAGTTTTTATGTCTTTTTGTTAATATTATTTTTTTATTTTATGTTTTGGAAAATGGAAAAAGAAAATAATTTTACGTTACGTTATCGTCGAGGATTATCATCCGACACTTTTACGCGATATACGCTCCGTCTGATCGCGAGACGGCCTGACAATAATCGTCTTCCCTTTTCGCTTTCAGGGCGCTATATTGACGACTATGCTGGCGACGCGGAACTTTTCCAGTAAGTATGATGCACAGGGTAAGTACCTCCGGCCCTCTTCAGCGCTCTACACGGACCACGACAGACAGTACTTTTATTACCTTCCGTTAAATTTTATGTCTCCGTGTTTCCGTATACGTATATATATCCCTTCGACAATCCACCTCGACAAAACTGTATCTTCCTCTTCCCTCTTTGCCGTATATTATTCGTCTTGCACTCTTGCCATATAGAAGATCTGCTCATCCGCCTTTCCGTTCTTTTTAACAGGTGCTTTATAATGCAGTCGTACAATCTTTTTCTCTTTCTGCAAAATTCGTTTTTTGTTGTTTTTTTACACCCATATATCATATGAAGATGATTACGAAGATTAACGAAACATCTTTTTTCATTAATATTTTTCCTTTTACGATAGTGATTGCAAAATGGAGCGCCTGCAATACCTTATATCTTTGCTCGTGCACAGAGATAAAGTAGAGTCTTTTCATTGACATTCCTTTGCATTAGATGATCGAAGGAGCGAGGTGAGGAATTAGAAAATTACATTAAAATTGTAGCCAAAGATCATTGTTCAGCTTGTCGTTTAGCTT